AAAAAAAGAATGAAAAAGTTTACAATATATAATCATCTGTACATTATATACACGGATGTGAGACAAAAATTCACCGTACAATTTAATTAAAAAATGTAATGAATTAAAATATGTTTCAAGATGAATAATCATGATCATCAAACATCCGTTCTTCAGGTACCAATTCACCAATTAGATATTTTTCTAATATCAACCATGCATCCAAACTATGAGGTTTATCAGCAAATGCCATTGTTGCATCTGTTCCTGCATATTCAAGCATAATATCAGAACCAGCTGGATGCTAGAAAGAAAGAAAGAAAAGCGAGATATTAAAAAATAAATGCTTTTGTTTAGTGTACATACCTCTCTCATAAAATCTGTTACATCATAAACACGATCTCGGATGACCATCCAACAATCATTTTCCATACAATGTGCTGAAACATCTTTTAATGTATATTGTTTTCGTTTTGGTATTTGAACCAATGTTAAATTCAACAATTTACTTTGAAGATTATTAAATACTTCTAAAGAAAAAGAAGAAGAAAATAATAAAGAAACTAATAAATCTATATAATTAACTTACGAAAGAATTCCATCGGAAAAGAAGTAAAAAATCTTTGATAGTTGAGTAGAATGTGTTCGGGCTTTGAATTTCGGTGTAAAATATGAAGAAAAACGAGTCGGCATCGTCTGTATTTATATTATCATTGTTAACAGAGATAGAATGATGAAATGATGAGAGAATAGAGAAAAAGAAAAAGAAGGTGTGTCTTGTGATATTTTGTTTTCATTGGTGAATATATTCTCTTATTCACTCTCTCTTTCTCATTTCATCAGCATATTCTATATACTGGATTCAAGCCAAAACGAAAAAGAAAAAAAAAAGAAATTAAATGTATACAACAAAAGATTCGTTCTAGTTATTGCCGGCGGAATGTAACAGGCGAAAGGAACATTTTTTTGATGACATAATTCGACAAAATGGATGTGAATGAGTACGAATTGATTATTCGTTTTTCGATTAACAGACAACGTACTAGATTTTTAGAAAGATAAATAATATTAAACTGATTGACATGTGTTAAAACACATTAAGCTTTTTATTTCGTCTTTTGAATATTTGCTATAGTATCTATACATTTGTGAATAGTGTAATGATAATGATGATGAAATGTTGGATAGAAGCCAAGTTTTGCTTCGTTTATTTGCTCTTACGGTTGAATGAATGAGTGACTGGGCGAGAGAACGAAGCAAGCAGCGTCAACCTTGTTCAATGAACCGTTTAAATATACGTATATATCTGATGCAATTCATTGCTTACAATGAACAACAATCTTATCAGTTATAGATCTTCTTTTTACAATACTATATGTGTAGTTTTTATTTGAATAATTAATCTTCGAACATTATTTTTCAATAAGAAACAAGCTTTTAACTAATCCTTTTTTTCTTACATATATTTTCAAATTGCAGTTAAACAAACTTATAAAATCAAGGCTAATAGAGATTTGTTTTTAAGAACAGGAAATTATAATCACATGACATCATAAAAATTTGTTTTAAATTCAAATTATTTCCCATAGTTACTCTATGTTTTATTTAAAAGACGTAATATCCTTATAGGCAAAAAAAACATATTTTATGAAATTATTTCATTTCCACGAAATGTTTTACTGTAGCTTATCATATATGTTTGAAACATGAGAGAATGGTCCCATGCCTTTTTCGTCTTCAAATAATAGGCATATGTGCACACACACCTCTTTTCTCCGCGCCTCCACTTTCATTTCTCTCTCTCTCTCATTCTCTATCATCATTTTGAAAATATCGACAAACACACCCATTATTAGTCTATATTCTCTTTTCCAACAACGCAATTTCTTAATTTCCCCGCCCTATCGACCTCAATTCGTACCATATGTTTTTGTATGACAATCGAATATCGATACTGTTGTCTTCATCTATGTATGTCCATATAGAAATTATCTTGTTTTCAGATAAATCAATTATATCGTTTAGTTTTCTTCTGATATCATCATCATTGTGCAGATTCTTATAGAATTTAAGAAGAATAAGAACAAAAAAAAAGATCGAAAAAAGTTTGTTATATATAGAAAGAAAAACAAACAAACAAAAAGCACGTATGACGGCCTTTCAAAAAAACAAACAGTTTAGATTCGATGTCAGACCGTGCAAACGAGAAAGAGAGAAAGAGAGAGAGAAAAAAAGGAATAAAAACAACAATATGATCTGCACAGAACAAATTACAAATAGAAAGAAAACTTGCTGAATGTAATGAATTCTCTCATAAAACAAAAATATGTCAATCTCGATCAAAAAAAAAATATAGTTCATTTACCAGATCAACGTTGTGATCGACCCCAGCCTATATCAAAACAAAAAGTAAATTCACATTTTTTTTTCATTTAAAAAAAAACTATACCAGAATTGGAAGAATACATATGGGATTGTTGCTGACCATAATACTGATTTGAATTTGGTCCATAATTATTATTATTATTGTTATTATTATTATTCCAACCGCCGCTACTCGCAGACCTAAATCAAAATAAGAATTTTATAGAAATATTCATCTCTAAAATCTATAATCATACTGAGAATAAGAATCCCATGATTGTGGTCCATTATTATTCCATTGTTGTTGAGGATTAAAGTATTGCTGTTGTTGTTGTTGTTGTTGTTGCTGTGGATAATTTCCACCATACTTTGCATAACCACCGTTATTTCCTCCTCCTCCTCCACCACCACCTTTAATAAATTTATTTAAAAAAGAAATAATAATTTGGTAAAATATAAAAATCAATTACAAACCCATATAAGTGTTATTAGATGGTGGACCATAAGAATTTTGTGAATACTAAAAATTTTTAAATAGAATTTTGTTTTTGTAAATATTTTCTATTAAACTTACAGAATCATATTGGTTATTATTATTATAATTTTGATTATTCATATTACTTCCGTAATTAGATGGATTATTTCCAGTATTCGTTGGTTCATCACGTCCCCAACCACATTTAACTGTATAACCATGAATATCAGAACCATGAATATGACAAATAGCTTGACATGCGCTATCTTTGGTTGCATATCTAGTAATTATGTGAAGAGATTTTTATTGTAAAATATTAAAATTTATAGTAAGTGTAATTTTACCTAATAAAAGCATAACCTTTTTCTTTAAATACACGTACTTCTACTATCGGACCATATTGTTCAAAAAATGAACGAACTAAATCTTCGCTAACTTCACCACAATTACCAAAATAAACTGTACTATTCGTATCACTTGTTCGATTCCATACTTCATTAAAATCAAGTTTTGCTGTTAATGATTCTTGACCATATTGAGAATTATTAGAATCTAAATATATAAATTAAATATTAATGTGTGTGAAGTATTAACAAGAGAATGAGTTTTAAATCATTAAAATCTTATGTAACGATATTTACCCATAGGTAAGATCAAGATAATAATCACCTAAAGGGCTTTTAATGAACATTAACTAGATGATTTTTATAGGAGAATGAAAGTTTAGGCAGCTTTTTTGTTAGAGTGTATCATTCGATATAGAAAAGTCAGCTGTTGGAAGGGAATTATGTCATCAAATGTAAGAATTCTTCGAATGAATTGCATAAAAACATGTATTTTTTGTATAAAGAAAAGGGCGAGCAATGACTTGACATGAGACATCGTGAGATCTGAAGTTACTTGGTAAGTTAAAAATAGCTCGAAAATAAATGATAATTATTTACAAAAATCAGATGAGATATTTTTTGTTCTATAGATTTATAATCAATAATAGAATTTTGTTATTTTTCTATTAATTTATGAATAAAAATGATTTTTACAAATATTAAATAAGTCTTTTTGTTTGAATATGTATTCAAAACTCTTTACCTAACAGAGAGCAAAAACTAATCGAACTCGAACTAATAAAAGCCGGTTTGATTCGATCTCTGTTATCTAAAGTACTTCGGGTGTAGTAATCAGAGAAGAAGTATGATGAATTATATATGATTATTATTTAAAATTTCTAAACTCTTATATTTCTACTATTTTCTAGAGAAAATATCAATACAAAGACCTTTGAAAAACTATTCATACCTCGACTTCGTGTACCAGTGGTAGGTTCATTAGTTGGTGCTTTTCTTGTCGCCCAATTTGTACGTATCTTTCGTGTACCAAGCCATTGTCCATTCATACTGGTAATAGCTGTTTCCGCGTCCTACAAAAAATCATAAAATCTTCTTTACCGCATTAAAAATTATATACTTACACTTTGATTAGTAAAAGAAACAAAACAATATCCTACAAAAAAATTGACTATTTTAATCAATATTATATCAAAGAAAAATATACCTTTGGGTTTTTGTGTATCAGTAAATTTAGCAATTTTAACTTCTCTATAAAAAAATAATCCATTGAGATTTTTAATATAAAATTAAAACTATCTTACGAAATTTCTCCGAATGGTGAAAATGCTTCCCGTATTGCATTTTGATCAATTTCAGGTGCAAGATCGCCGACAAATATATGAAAATGTTCTAAATAAAAGAATATAAAAAGAAAAATTCTTAAATAAATATATACTCACTACTTGTATCAACTTTAACTGTTCCAGATGTTGATGTTGTTGCCCAGTTAACTTTTATTTCTTTACCCATGACTAAACGTTTGTTCATTGCAAGTAGCGCATTTGCAGCTGCTTGATGTTCAGTAAATTCAATAAATGCATATGGATCACTGGTTGGCTAAAAATATAATTGAATAATAAAGTAGTCCCTCTATATAGATTATTTTTTTCATGATTAAATATATACTTCATGGATAATTTTACAATTTTTACATGGTCCCATTTGTGTGAATAGAGCCATTAAGAGTTCTTCAGAGACAGATGGATCGAGATTTCCAACATATCTATATTAAATAAATGAAAATAAATAAAAACAGAAATCTTTTCTAATCAATATACATACAGTGTTCGAGAGTTAGCATTTTCCTCAAATGGAGAGTGCATTTTTTCCTAGTAGTTTTCTAATATTAATCTATTAAAAAGAATAAAACAACAAAAATAGTGACCGAACAAGAAAAGAATCATTATTATTCTATGTATACTATAATTCGTTAATTTATGTAACCATATTAGTTATCAACCATACTTTATTCAGCAGCACATTCAATGACTTTTAAATTAATGCATTATATTTCATTTATGCGTTTATATCTAGTTCAATAAGCGTTTTTTCTATGAATATTAAAATATTATTTTATTAATCATACTAATAATATAAAAGATATTCAAAAAATGTAAGTCTATATCACTGATATCAAGATAGATGTCACTTACATCTTGTGAAAAAGCTTGTTATATTACTGAAAGAGTTCAATAGAATTACAAATAACATAGAACTATGAATATTTTAGAAATCTCTTTAATTATTCTAAAGTTCTTGCTAAAATTAATGGTCGTAGTGTTTCAGTATTGCTCCATCTCTTTCGATATACACATTTTTTAGATTAGTTATTGATTCGATATACTTGTCAACATAGTAAAGTGATATCAGATGTGATATGCAATGATGTTTTAATTCCATCTTGGACAAATGAAGATAAATTTCATGATTTGTTGCCAATATTCATGTGCATTTCTTTAGTATGAAATGAAAAATAACGCTATACTTCTTTCGTGTAATTCTCTTAGAACCTACGTCGTTTTATTTTTACTCTTAAATAAAATTTTGTTGCATATAGAAAATAAAATAACAAATCATATTTATTGACATTATATATCGCGCATAAAATAAGATAACAAGATCTAAACATGAAAATACCTCGATGGTATATACGTATAATGTTATCTAAACAAAACATATGTGATTTAGATATATTTGATTGTGTAAAACTAGATGATAAATAATCATATAGACATTATTAACATCATGTCCTTTATGTCATCAATGTGAATGTCATGATCTCATCAAGAGAAACCAAACGTTAAAATTTGATTTATCTCTTCTACAATAAAAATTCATTTATAGAAAAAATAACCAGGCGATAATTTCATACGACTATGGCTAAGCTATCTATTTCATTCTAATAAAAAATTTGTTCATCTATATTTTCCCCACAAAAATAATAGAGTAACTAGAATAAAATTCATTTTGAACTTTCTAACAAATCGTTGATAAAAACATACTGAATAAACGATATGACTGAATATAAATTTGTAAGATAAATGTGAATAGTCATACAAAAAACTTAAATAATAGAAAATTATGTATGTATTTTTATTGAATAAAACACGATTGTACGAAAAATGATTTTCCCTATTGTTCAACTATTTATCGATTCTTCGTTGTATTTTTTGATAAAATGAATACATCAACATATGCTTTTTTTTAATTTAACAACAATTGTTAAAGATAAATATTGTATGATAAAAATAGAAAGACAAATGAGAAAAGTATTAATATCATGTTATGACATAGCGTATTCTTTTTTTTTTTTATTTCCATCATTAGTAATAATGTCAAAATGCATAGTATTTATTTGACTTGAATTTTTTCCACGTAAATTCTGTCGTTTTTCTCTATTTAGCAGGAAATCACGCGTTCAAATAATGTAGATTGACTGCTAGAGAAAGAAAGAAAGAAAAAAAAGAGGTAAATCTAATAGAGAAGTTCATAGATTTTTCTATTGATCTGTTTTCTTTCAAAGATTACTTGACAGGTGAGAACATTAGCTTGATGAAATAATCTATAAATCTATGTTTTTCTTTTTATATTACAAACTGAATGCTCTTTGTAACAGATTTATTCAATTAGTAAGATATTAATAACAAAGTTTTTTGTTCTTTTTTTCTCCGTCGATATTTTGTCAGAATAAAATATGACATAATTTATACTTTTAGATCAAAAATGAATCATCATCGTTCGAATTCGACACGTCGAGGATCTGTATCATCTTCAACAAGTCGTACATATTATAATAAAACATTTGAAGATACAACAGATTTGTTTTTATTCGCTTGTGCACATGGTGATTATACATTAGTACATCGTCTTTTATTAGAAGGTGAAGTTAAAGCTGATGTAATGAATAAAATGGGTAAAAGTGCATTACAATTAGCGATTGAAAATGAACATTTTGAAGTTGTTAAAGTTTTACTTGATAAAACTGCTTATGAGAAATTTCGTGATGCACTTCTACTAGCCATTTATTTGGGTCATACAAATATAGCTGATTTTATTATGAATCATCCAACTTATTTAACATTTTATGGAGGTTTTCTCGATGTAAATCATCCTCAAGCTTATGATGATTCACAATTTAGTTCTGATATTAGTAAGAATTGTTTTTTTCCTATACAAAAATTTTCAATCTCTTTTTTTTGTCTAGCTCCACTTATACTTGCTGCTCAACATAATCGTTTACAAATCGTTCATCAATTATTAACAAAAGGTGAACGTATAAAAAAACCACATGCAAGTATGTGTCCATGTGTTGATTGTGCTGATAGTTCAGCCTATGATTCATTTCGTCAAGCACAAGTTCGTTTATCAGCATATAAAGGTCTTTCATCGGAAGTTTATATTGCTTTAACATATCCTGATCCAATTTTACAAGCTTTTGAATTAAGTCATGAATTACGAACATTAGCAAAAGTTGAACATTATTTTCGTGAAGATTATGAAAAATTAGCTAATCAATTGTCAGTATTTGTTACGCGATTACTTGATAATGTTCGAGGACATGAAGAACTTGAAATTGTATTAAATAAAACTGGTAAACCAAATGAAGAAAAATATGAAAATTTAGCACGATTTGATTTAGCTATACAATATCAAGAAAAAGCATTTGTATCACATTCAAATTGTCAACAAAAATTAATGGAAAAATGGTATGAAAATTTATCAGCAATTAAAAATGCTCATCTTACTAAACGAGTACTTTTTTATCTTGCATTTATTATTTGTTTACCATTTCTATTATTGGCTTATTATTTATTTCCAAAATCAAAAATTGGTTCATTAGTATGTATTATAAAGATGAGCTTCTATAAATTAGAGTAATGAAACGGAAGAGAAAAAAAAGGAATAACATATTTGCGAATTCTTTAAAGTGTTAAGAGAATAGTTCTAATTGGAATTTTAGGGTGATCGGACAAAACGTCACAGGCATATGGTCCAGTAAGGGTGAGGGCGAAAGTGTGTGTGAGGGTGCAACGAATATCCGCATCCTACGTAACCCTCCTCCAGAATAAAAAGGCATGGCCTTCTATTACGTTATAACGAATTGGTCTTTTTCTGGTGGCGTTCTATTATAGGATGGCGTTCTATTTGGGGGGCGGGCGGGTTACATACACTGATCGACACCAAAAGTTTACTAGCAATTCGTTTCGAATACGTAAATGAGCTGCGCCGTTTATCCATACGATGTTCTGTCCTAGCGCTCATTTTAGACTCACAGCAATCTAATACTTATTATTCAAATGACCCTATAATTACTAATCAGTTCTATATGTTCAGTATAAAATGCACCCATCACTTTAATAAAAAGTCGTTGCAAGAGAATATGCATATGGAGTTACTTGAACTTCATAGAGATACATCAAAGTATTTCACTCATAATATATTGCGAGATCTTAAATATCTATTATTCGTATCCATCATTTTCTATCTACACATAGATTAATATATGAAATAGTCTCAAGGGTAGAGTACGGCGGTTCCAAAAATTACCCGGAACTGGAACCGCGGTTCCGATCCGGTTCCGGTCAGTAGAAATAATAAAAGAGCGGTTCGGTTTCGATTCCATTTTTTTGTAACCGCCGTACCCTACTCAAGAGGGAAAAAACGAGACTTCAGGAGTATGTACTTCATCGATACTTCACTGGTACTTCAAAAACATTTTGAAGTAGATGAAGTCTCGCTTTTCCTCCCTTGAATAGTCTTGACATTTTATTTTAAATTCTTGTTATTCTTTTTTATTTTAAGTGTCATCAACCAAATTTAAAATTAAAAACATATATTATTTCATATTTAACTTTTATTGGTCTTATTGTTGCTTCAAGCTATTTTTCTGTATCACATTTACAAGAAACTAGATTACTCTCGAATGAGAAAGATTATGACAATTATATTAGATATATTTATCAAAATATAGAATTAAGAAATGCTTTGATTAGTAAACATAACAATAATAATAATAACCGAACAGATAATCTTATTAGTTGTGATGTAAGTTTACGTTTTATGGAACCAAATCCATTTCAAATCGCTATTTTCATTTGGGTTGTTGGTTTTATTTGGCAAGAATTTAAACAAGTATTTACATCTGGTATGCGAGTGTATTTAACAGCGCACAGTAAGGTTTATCCCCATATATAAATAGGAAAAAATAATCTTTTTTTTCTTTAGGTAATTATGTTGATTGTTCAATGAATATTCTTTATATTTTATATTTTATATTTCTTTATTCATCAATGATTTATACTCGTACATCAATGAAAACATTTCGTTCAGAGAAATATTGGGAGGATATTAAGAACTTTAATAGTTTAACATCAGAAAAACAAGATCATTATCTTGCTAAAACATATCATATTCTTTATTGGCTTAATGCTGACCGATATTATTGGAATAGTGGTGATGCACAAAATCTAGCTGAAGCATTTTTTGCTATGGGAAATGTTGCTAGTATTTGTCGTATTTGTTTTCTTTTACCAATTATTGGATTTGTTGGACCATTACAAGTAAATATATATTAGATAGAATTTTTACTAGTTAGAGAATTAACTGTTTGATCGTAAATAATGATTAGAATAATTTTTGAACCGATTAAAATTTATACATTTTCATTCAATGTCAGTTTGTATAAGCCTTTATCAAACACTAGATATGAAATAATTCAAAATACTATAGAAATTTCAAAAAAAGGCAGACGGAAGAAATGTTTATTGTTTTTGAATGGAAAGTTAGGGGGAAATTTCGATATGTGAAACAAGCTGCTGGGAGCACTTTTTCAAGCTAGCTTTATTCTGAATGGTTGTTTTTCTTATTTCTTCTGCTACAATTTACGTGGAAAATATTCCCCACACATAAGCTTGCACACCCCTGACTGTCCTCTATCAAATGGTGAAAATCGCACATTACGATTAACTCAGCATTTTTTTCCATTTGTCTTCTTTTAAAACACAAGAATTTATGTTTATCAATAAACAATTATATAAGAATTTTCCTTTATTATTTTTAAGGTAATGCTTGAACGCATGCTTATTGATATATCGAAATGGATTGTAATTATTTTAATATTTTTCATTGCATTTGCATGTTCATTATATTTAATTTTTTCATTTTTTGCTGTCGCAAGAGAACAACAAATTCAATTGCGTAATCTTACATCCTTAAATGGGCATAAATCATTTATATTATCATCAATAACAAATAATACTATTATAATACAAAACAACAGTAAATGTCCACAACTTTTTTATGACCTTATGGAAAACTTAAATGAAACCATGTATTATATTGAAAATGATGATTCAAACGAGACAGATAATAAAAATACTTGTGCTTGTGAAGATGATAAGAATTATGAAACGATTAAAACTAGTGAGAATTATGATAAGATTAAAAGAGTTGGACCTCGTCCAGCTCTTTATTATTTTGGAGATTCATTTGGATCAACAATATTAACAACATTTTTTACTTTATTTGGAGTTATTGCTGAAGATGGAGTGCCAGTATGAATGAAGATTTTTTAAATAAATATTGATAAAAAAATTTCTATTTTTTTCTTAGGATCGAAGTTATGAACTTATTTCATTAACATGTAATAAACCTAATAAAAAAACTTATGCGCCTGGTTTTGATTTATTCACATCAAATCTTGGTTTTATTATTTATGGTCTCTTTACATTTGTTTGTGTTACTGTTCTTATCAATACTTTAATTGCTATGATGGAAGAAACAATAGATACAATTGATGATAGAGCTGATGTTGAATGGAAATTTGCACGATCAAGACTTTATATGGAATATATACGAGATGGTAAAAAAAAATTTTCTTTTATATAGAAATCTTTGTTCAATCAATAATCGAGATAGCTCGGGACAAAGGCAAAACGTACTAGGTGTCCCGAACACCTAGTAATTTGTCCAACTGATCGATTTCGACTTTGTTTACCGGGAGTCCGTAAAACATGTTGGTCAGGGGGACCATATCTTAAAAAAATACAGATAAATCTGAACGAAATGCTGAACAGTATGTAAAATATTTTCAGAAAATCGGGTGACGGTATGGCTGTGGATGTGTACTATGAGAGAAGAATGACTTATACACTCACACTTACACCGACTCTAACACCCTGCTTGTTTTAAATCTTTGTCATTCCGAAAATTTTGTATGTCAGGAAGTCGTGACAAACATCGTCTCAGAGAAACCGTAAAAAAAAGTTCGTGCGTTATGTCTCGTTCCCGATAGCTCTCTTATATCAGGAATATATCACATATACATACAACTTTATTGTACCATTTCGCAATCAGGGATCTCGAATAATGTAAATGAGTTCGTTTTGTTTTCAAACTTCTTCCGTCCGCATCTTTCGTATTCCTAGTTTTTGCTACCGTAATATTTCCTATTTAGGAAATACTTTACCTGTTCCATTAAATATTTGTCCAACACCAAAATCTTTTATATATCAAATGAAACGACTTAAACAAAAATTATTTTCGGATCAATCAGCAACAGATGATAATGAACGAGCAAACAAAGATAAAGAAGATCAAATAGGTGAACTTAATATTCGACATCGTAATAATGTGATGAATGGTGGTAAAAGTACTCTACATAATAACTTTGAAAATGATAGAATCTTCGATCATTCACGTAATCAAATGACGGATGAAGAAAAATTAACATATAAAATCGTAACTGAACGTATTGTTAAACGTTTTTTACTTTATTATAAAAATAAACATAATGCAATGGATGAAATAAACGATGGAATGGAATTTAAAGAATTTAAAAATGATATATCATCATTACGTTTTGAATTATTTAATGAAGTTGATGTTTTAGATGAAATGCGTTTATCTCTTATACAATCAATGAAAAAACTTAATGATGATTTACAAGGACATTTCGATATTGAACAAATTAAAAATCATTTTAATAATCAAAGAAATTAATTTTATGTAAATAAAAATTTTCTCTCTTTTTTTTTGTCTCATTTTGCTTCTTTGTTTTTCTCTTGATTGTTCAAATATAATCAGCAAACAAATATTTAATAATAGATTTTCAAAATAAGATATTACGAAAGTGAATATAAAAAAGTTGATTTTAACAGGTACGTAATTCACATGATGATGTATATTTTAAGATTAAAATTGTTTGTATTTGTGAAAGAGAGTTTATATACAATATCTTATTCACTTTTGGTCGACATGAAATTATTACGGAGAAGGCAAAAGCTATGAGTTCAAATGAGAATTTTGTCTTCGCTTTTGTTTAAGAATGGTAGGATAATCTTTGATAAGCCCAAAAAACTAGTCTGAATAAATAAGTTTTTTGCGGACTTTTGTATTTTTACCGTTATAATTCGAGACTAAAAAGTTGAGATTGATATTTATACATCAACTTGTAGATTAGGGGTTGCTCTACAGAATGACCGACTTCAACATTTTTTAGCATGTCCGAAAAGGAACTTGTAGAATAAACAAAACTGTTAATTTTTTAGACCTCTCAAAAACTTCCTCATTGTTCTTGAACAAAGATAGATACGGCATTTCGAAGCCCATATTCAAAGAGAGAACAAAATTCTGGTTCTAATTCATAGCTTTTACTTGTCTGTAATAGTCTCTTGCCGCACAAAAGTACATAAATATTCGCCCCAAAACATCCTTGATCACCCGTTATATTCATTTCATTATATATACAAATGCTATCTTTTTTTAATTATTTGTAACCGTATCCATAATATATCTTTATCAAAAAAATTTAAATCCATTGATGTTTTATTAAATGAAGATATTTCAAAAGTTTATTAGTTTAATATGACTATTGTGACTTTGCATTTATTACCACAAAAGAAATGTCTGTATGATGTTGATCTATATGCTTACAATAATACGTGATTTATAATATATAGATATTTGTTAAGAATAAGTGCTTGGAAAAAAAATGAACCCTTTTAACCTCACCCTCACTTCGTATCCTCATCTGCACGCTCGTTCGTAAGTTTTGTCATGTTGAGAAATTATACATGAATAGCCATTTTTAAAGATCGGATATAAGAAATAATCAACTAATTGATACAAATAACGGCAAGAATTGAAGTTATATGATTAATTCATATTTGATTGGTTCAGATCGGCTGGTACACGAAAGTTTTTAAACTACTAATTAAATTAAAGTGTACTAATCTGAATAATTCATAGTATGCAAGAGACATTATTTTACTCTATGAGTCATAAATTAAGTTCATTTTTTTCTTTTTAATCTGTTCGTATATTTCTATGCTGAAATATAAATATTAATTCATTAAAATAGAGATAACAATATGTCCTGTAATTACCAATTTATATAATATTTTACTTTACTGCGAACTATTTTTTTTGTCCTTAGCATCTAGGTTTAACTTCTTCACACTTCTATGAACTTTAATTTATTTTATTTCCAGATTGGTACTTCTATTTATTCTCTAAAAGAACTGACTGCCATCTGTTTCACTTTATCAACGGTATATATTCCTTTAAATATTTTAATTACAAAAAAAATGAGTTTATAAATAATGTCAGGTGTGCAGAAAAAAACAGTCAACGGAAAAGAAGAAAAAACCGAGCACTTATAAATTTTATAAACTATTCATAAAGAATACATTATAAGAATTACTACTCTTCATATTTCACCATAAAACTTATTATATTTTTACACAATGATGATTGACATGGAAGATAGTTCGGTTGAAGAAGATTTTATACCTAGTGGTAGTGTAGCGGCATGTGATGTTTATATTCGTATGCGTAAGTAAAATATTCTTTTTTTAAATTTTTGTAATTAATCATGATTTTATTTTAGAATTTTTACGTAAAGTTTATGGTATTGTTGCCGTTCAACTTTGTTTTGTTACAATAGTATCAACTATAATGATATCAATAGAACCTGTGAAGATGTTTTTTCAAAATCATCCAGGCTTTTTTATGTTATTATTTCTAGCAACAATGGTTAGTTTATTGGCTGTTTATATAAATCGTCTTGAATATCCACTAAATTTTGCTTTACTTGCTCTATTTACATTCTTTGAATCGTTAACAATGGGTACAATTGTTTCATTTTTTGATAAAATTTTAGTTCTACAAGCATTATTATTAACTGCTGTTATTGTTGTTAGTTTAACAATATATACATTTCAAACTAAACATGATTTTTCACCGATGGGAGCAAGTTTATATATACTATTATTTGTCTTAGTTGCAGGTGGATTCATTCAAGTAAGAAACAACAACAATAAGAAAAACAATTTTTGTTTTTTTTTGATTATTTAGATTTTTATTCGTAATCCATTTATGGAATTATGTCTTGCATTAGGTGGTGCACTTGTATTTAGTCTTTATTTAGTTTATGATACACAAGAGATAATGCGTAAAAAATCACCTGAAGAATATATTGATGCTGCAATACAAATTTATCTTGATATAACACGTTTATTTATTGAAATTTTACGTATACTTGAAGCTATGCGCCGTGAATAAACAATAAAATCGAACATATTTTTTTTTTCGTATTACTATGATTGTCTACTAATCTATTTAAAAATAAATTACATCATTTTCTACTTAATAGATTGTTGTTGCTGGAGCCAGAGATGTCTATTACGGTTAGAAAGCAGCCTCTGTCGCACCGTGATGGGCATCTCTAGTTTGTTGATGTCGATTGAGAAAAGTGGGCTCCAAATTTCGAGTTTTCGACAACTTGTCGCTTGTAACTGTATGCTTTTTTTTCTTGACCATTATCAGTCGACTCAGCACAGTCCAGAGTATCTATTAGAGCAATCAAAAACAGATGATTATAGTTTTCAGGTAGAGTTTTTCACGAAAATTTGGAGCACATTTAATTTGACCGTTGATGTCGTATATGAAAAACTCATGAGAAGTTAGAGAATAATAGTTACTGCTAAATTTCAATTATATTGCAAAAAGTTTTGATCGATGTTTTTCTTTTTAAGGACCGTATAGAAATCTTATTTTAGAATTAGGCTATAATAATCACAAGTATAACTGAAACAATAAGTCCACCAATTAAACCAATAAAAACAATAGCGAGAACATTAGCTGGTAATAAACGTATTGATTCTCCTAAACGTTCTATCAATGACAAATGTTGTTTACTAGAAGAAAGAGGATCTACTGATTGATTTATTCGTTGTTGTTGTTCCGTTAATTCAATAGCAATAACATCATTTTTTACATTATCAACTGTTGTAGTTGAATCAAAACGATTATCATGTATATATTCTAAATTGCCTCCAAATGGTGGAATATCAATTATCGGTATTTGTTGTTGATATGATGAAACAAATTCAACATGATTTGATAAAGGAATTGAATCTGCACTATCACTTGTAGAATCTGGTATTGGTTTAACACGTGTACGTTGTGGTAATGTTGTCGTAATTGGTTGAGTTTGTTGAGAAAATTGTGCAATACGTTTTTTTACTAATAAAGGTTTGTCAATTACATCATTTGCTGTTGATATATCTGTTGATGATGGAATATTGTTAATCATATTCAACATACTTTTAAGTGAAAGACGAGCAGTACTACTCATTCTTGATTGTTTTGGTAAACTATCATAACCTGTATCATCTTCTGATAATTTATTTGAATGAATTTCAACAACATCAGTAGCAAAAGGTAATGGGTATTGATGATAATTATTCGATGATGCTCGCATGATAACAAAAAGAGAGAGATAAAGAAAAATAAAGACAAGCAAGAAGAGTTAAATAAGTTAGATTTAGTCAGATTATTCTTTTTTTTCAAGAATATTTATTAGAAAAAAATGCGCGTGATGAAAGATTATTAATAAATATAAATATTATCATTTTTTTTAACATCAGGTTCATTTAATTACTATAGAAACTAAACTAACATTGAATAAAATCAGGTTTGTTATTTGTTCAATTATACAATGAGTCACTTTCGTAAAAAAAAACAATCGTAAAATAATGATGTAAGTGTTGAAAGAAGCATCGACAGTGCTTTTATGTCACACATTGTCTATTGTAAGAAAAAAAAACTCTTGATAGAATTTTTAATAAGAAGCTTTATTAATAGTGCATGTCAGATATACATATATGATTTCTTACAAATACCATATAAAAAATTGTATAACATACTCACACATTCAAACAACATCATTTCGATGCATTCTTATTTTTTATTATTCAACATACTTCTCATATTTTTATTACCAATAAATGCACAGATAGGTAACAAAATCTTATCAAAAAATAAAAAATTCGTCTTTTCCTTTTTCGATAATATAGATACTTCTTTTACAAATACATCATGGTTTTGGCCAGTATTTAGTATTTGTCTTATATTATTAATTAGTGCTTCATGTATAGCCGTTATAATTATCGGTCTTTGTCATGATAAACAAAAATTAAATACGAATTTCGATCAATCAAGTATTAACTCAAGTTCACCATCTATTTCTTCAGTATCATTTCAAGATGATAGACAATATAATTATTTTCATAGCCCACCGCCACCATATATAGCAAATGAACAACCGGAAATTCTTTTTCTTACTTCATCACTTCCACCTTCATATCGATCTTCTACACCAATAGATTTATCATCAACATTAACAAATCCATCTATACCAACATTTTATGTTTAAAACATTTTTTAACGAAAAATAATGTCTGTTATTAATACGGAAAGTTAAAATAATTATTAATGAAATATTTACACAGTTATAAGCAACAAAATGTTTTTGCAAAATGGAAAAAAAAGACCAAGTATCATGCTTGAAAAGAAAAATTCAATATTTAATAGATTAATAAATAAAAAACAAAACAAAAACAAGAATAGAAGTATATCATAAAGATATATTGTAAGCAGAGTTTTACAATCACATATAGATAGCATTATATTCTCTTTAAATATCTAACGAAAGTTGAGCAAAACCAAGAAGTTGTTTATCATCAGGTGGTTGATCGGAATCGATATAAGATTCCTAGAAGAAATTAGATCGTAAATTATGAAAAAAAAAAAATTAAAATTTACTAAAGTAAATACAACTGATTCAAGTGTTGGATTTTCAATAAGTTGTTTCATTGATGATATAACTAAAATAATTGAAACAATAAGAAAATTTAATAATTAGTTATTTAGATATATTTACTAGCATGTGTATCACGTTCATCAATTAAATTTGCTGATACCATTTCAGATGTAACATCTTCTACAGTTTCATTTGCTTGATTAACATCAAATTTAATATCATGTAGATCACTTTGGGCATTTCTATATTAACGATAAACAAATTATTTAAATTCATAATTAAATAGGATGAAATATCGGATAGGAAAGAGATACGATCGAAGATAGACTCAGCGATGCGACAATTAACTGGTTATGTAGTTATAATACGAATAGCGTTTTATTCTATTTTCCCATGTCATCAATACTTTTTATTCAATAGTATTTTGAATGATAAAGGATAAACAGCGATTATTATCTAGTAGAAAATCAACTTGTAAAACTATATAACACTTAATGCAGCACATGCGGGTTTAAATAAATAAGAAATGCCCTACCACAAGGGAGAAAGAGCGGAATACGGATCTCCGGGGATTCCATAAAACCGTTTTGAATTCTAGATTCCAGTCTTTCCCCCTTCCCATACCCTCAAAAATGTTCTTATATCATACCAACCGTATTCTTAATGTAAGTTTGAATATTTGATTATTCTCAATTGATAATTCTTCCATTCCATTTATATTCATTTGTACAGTTAAATCACTCGGAGATTGAACCTATTATTTTTAATTTTTATAATAAATTTAAATGTAAAAATAAATATGTTTACCGATTGCGTAATGATATCATTTTTTTCAATTAAATCATCAATATTTTGAACTGTTTGATCTTCTAATTGTCGAATTTTAGTAATTTGTTCATCATTTGATATCGGTGAATTTTCATCCTCTGAACCACTACTAAATTTCCATTCTCCATTATCACTTACACGTACAACACGTGATAAGCCTAATTTACGTCTACTAACGATTTTTTCTTCCATTTTTTTACGATCTTGAAATTTTAATGCTAAATTTTTAGCTATATAAGAACGATCTTTTGCTTTTTTAAAAAAATCATGTTTTAATAATTGTTTAGCTGTTGCACGATCATCTGGATTTTTCTGTAAACATTGTTCGATCATTTTACTAAAAGAAAAATTTTTTTTTAATAATTAAATCAATAATTTTATCTTTACCGGAATATTTTACTATAATGTTTATATTGATCACGATCTTCAGCGCATGTATCTAATGTTGGTGGATCATTTTGCAAAGTTAATATTAATACCTATGATAATAATTTTAAAAAAAAACAAAAAATAAATAAAATAATTCTAACTTTCATCGGTGGATATCTATGATAAGGCGCAGTACCAGTTGCTAATTCAATAGCTAATATACCAAATGACCATATATCAACTTTAGTATCTATACAAATTTAAATTACATAGATATCATAGGAATTGCTTTCATCTTACTGTAACCAGTGGGCTATAATGATAGAATAATTAAAAAGATAGATAATGTCTACAAGCCAAAAAAAAGTACAACTTACTTGTTGCTCCATAACTTCAGGTGCCATCCTACATAGAAAATGCTCAATATTAAAGAAACGTTAGCGTATGTATTTACAAAACGACTATCGGAAGGATTTTTTTGTTTTAGAGTTGTGTACAAGTACGATTAGAATTCAGATGCAAAAGTATGAAATTTAACTTAATAAACATATCAACAGTATTTAAAGTAAACAATTTTTGATAGTGAAATCCCGTTTAATTGGATGGTTTAAAAGGAGACATGATATTCATCATTAGATCGAAAAAAAAAACCTAAATTCTTACCAACAAGGTGTGCCAACAAATGTATGCCGTTGTTTATCATGAGTAATATCTCCACCTGATGCAATAAAAGCACTCACACCAAAATCTGCAATTTGTACACTACCATCTGTACCCAATAAAATATTTCCAGCTTTAATATCTCTTTAAACAAGAAAAACAAAACGTTTATTTTAGAAAATATATGTCTCTTTTTAACCTATGCATATGACCATTGGAATGAAAATAATCTAAACCTTTAATAACTTCACGTAAAACTGTTGCAATAGCTACTTCATCAAGAACACCATTATGACAATTACCAAGTTGCATTGTATAACGTATAACATCAAGTAATGAACCTAAAATAATTTACAACATAAAATTTTAAGTTTTTTTATTATTCCGAAACCTCCATATAATAATTTCATAATTAACCATAATTCTTCTCCAACAACAAATGATGTATAAAATCTTACAACATTTTCATGTTGACATCGTTCCATAACTTGAATTTCTTTCTAAAATAAATATATACATATAGATTTAATTCTTTAATTTTTTAAATTACTCACTAAGATTTCTTCGAGAGATGTATTACATCGATCGAGATTGATTCTTTTTACAGCAACATGTTCATCCGTTTTTTTTATTGTTGCTGCTTGAACAACAGCAGTAGCACCTCGACCTATTGAATTAATTTATTATAAAAAAAATAATGATAATTTTTCTTTACCAATTACATCACCAAGTTCATAATCATCAAAATTTACTGGCCATTTAGCACGACTTTCGGAATAATTATCAACGGCTTCACTCATATTTCTAATTAATTATAGACTAAATAAATAATTAATCAATCTTTTTTTTTTATCAGTTATCAAATAAATTCTGACCTGTAATCTTTTAAATATGAACATGTAATGTAAAATAAAAAATAATCCAATGAATTATTTACATAAACTTATTGACAAAAGAAAGATTATCTTCGAAGAATTTAAATAATCGAAAATAAATTGATTTATTCAAAAATATTGGTAAAAATGATTAGAATATTGATGGCAAGGATCATCTAGTCTGGAGCCATATGATTACAATAGTTATTCTATTGGTTAATACCTATGCCAATAAACAGAAGAATAAGAAGCAATAGTTCCAATACCTATCTATCTAATCATTGATTAAATGCAAAGAATGTGTTTATTAATGACGCTGAGAATATTCCCATCTAGCATATATTTCTTTATCATCAATAATGAATACTTTTTTTTTTGATTTATTTACTTTACAGTCATTATGAATATATTTAGTTCAATTACGATTGTACAGAAGAGTCAGATATTGAAATTTAAGTTCATATAATAATAAATGGAAACACAGCATGAGATGATATTTTTAGGTCAAAATGACATGTTGAGTTTTAAACGAGAAATGTTTTAATAAGAAATGAGTAATCAGATCTTTACCTACAATTCACATAGAATCAAAGTGTTGGATTTCATTTTATAAGAAGATACTCATCAGTTTTCTATTATGAATATCTGAATTATCATAAGCAATATTGTGTATCTGAATTCATTTTTTAATTAACTATATGATACAGATATTGAATGATTTATTTATGAAGTATATTCTATCATGTAGAAATGGCAGGGCTGGAATCGTTTGCAAGTCCGGTGAAAACCGATTCAAAAACGGCTTCAGATATGAAATGTTTTATGTGGCCAAGTAAAAGACATCCAACATAGTGATTGTTTAAAAAAAAACTCAGAATAAATGGTCATAATTACATATTCTGATTGAATGATACGAGAAATCTTAGTGTTTATGGTCGTAATTAGTGCTAAATAAAGAGATTTTTTCCAGTCTTGAGAAATGGTATCGTTTTCATTTGCTATATCATGAGTACGAAGAATATCTTTATAGAGCAAAGATACTCTCCACATCATAGGTATGTATTAAATTACGATATATATAGACTCTGACATTTATCGAATACATAACTACTAGAGTTGATATGATTATTTATAGTAAAATTTATTCAATAATTTATGCTTTTATAGAAGTCGTAAAACATGAAGAATACAATAAATTTATGCAATTCTCATGACAACTGTTACACATATATATGCACTCGAACGGTAAGTAGATAATCGATATTTAATGTGTTTTTAAAGCGAAATATTCGAGAGGACGATCATATTGCTATATATATTTTTTTGAAATAAATGAATGAAACACCTAATGATCTTTAAAAATAACCTTGTAACGATGAATAAACAACAACTAATAATGTAAAATTTAATACTAAAGAATAATGCTGATTTTTTAGAATAGTTAACAAAATATTAAATTTGTACTGACCTATCGTTATTTCATACAATTTAAAATGAAATCAGTACTGACTTTGAAGATATTTTGTCAAAGCACATGTATATAATTGTATTTCATCAGTTCGTATAACTTTCCCTTGAGTATATATGTAATTATGTTGAATTACTATTGGGATGCGGTTTAAATTACTTTCTCAAATACCGTAATGAATTTTACTTTATTAAGAAGATCTTTTTGTTTCGCGAAATATGAAGCAATTCATTTTTTTTCAAATTGAAAATAGCGTTTAAGATATAGAATGATTCCGAAGCTATTTTATCATTGATAGTCTTCCTTTTATAAAAATGACAGGATCATATACTTCTATTAACTTCACCAAAGCCTTTTAATCAACACAGTTAACAAGCAAAGTGTTAATTCTATGTTCTGAAGACTTTATTCTAAATTTAATCTTACCATCTATTTAAATAGCAATTAGAAAATACCTTGGACATAATGTCATATTATTTTGCTTATTTGCAAATAGGTGGAATCATAAAAAAATTAGTCAGGATTTCCGAATGCCACATCGTATATACGTAATTTTTAATTGGTCAATTTAACTAACGAATAACAATAAAGATAGAAGTATGATTATTATATTTTTTAAAAAAAATTATTTTTTTTATTTGCTTAAAATTGTTAAACAATCTCAAATAAATTAATAATAAAAATAAAAAAAAATTTTCATTTATGATTGGCCAATAAAAAATTGACTGAGTGGCCCAATAATAATAATCAATTCTAATCAAAAAAATAATCATATTTTACTATTTATTTTCGTTCGAAAATGCTTTGGAAATCACTACTTGCTTGTTCACTCATCGTTCTATTATCAATTAAGAGCGCATATAGTTATTACATCTTAGTTGATGCACATTCCGAAGAATGTTTCTTTGAAAAATTAACATCCGGTACAAAATTATTATTGACTTTTGAAGTTATTGAAGGTGGTTTCCTTGATATTGATGTTAAAGTAAAAAAATAGTTTTATTTTCACAAGATAAAAATTTGATTTGTAAATTTAGATAACTGGACCTGATCAGAAAGAAATTTATCGTGGAGATCGAGAATCAAGTGGAAAAACAACATTTTCTGCTCATATGGATGGTACATATACATTATGTTTCAGTAATCGAATGTCAACAATGACACCAAAAATGGTTATGTTTGAAATTGATACTGGAGATTCACCTAAACTCGATATGGCTGTTACTGGCACAGGAGAAAATGTTACACGTAAAAATACTATCTATTTATTCTGCTTATTTTATTTTTATATATTTAGTTCATCATAATAAACTTGAAGAACTTGTTGCTGAATTATCTGCTTCATTGAATAATATTAAACATGAACAAGAATTTATGGAAGTACGAGAACGTATACATCGTGCTAGTAAGTTATATAATTTATAGAAAAAACCAAAGATATATTTATGTATTTTTTAGTTAATGAAAATACCAATTCACGTGTTGTAATGTGGTCATGTTTTGAAGCTTTTATTTTATTAGCTATGGCATTTGGTCAAGTTTATTATCTCAAAAGATTTTTTGAAGTTCGACGAGTTGTATAAAAAAAAACAAAATCAAAAAACATTTACTTCTTTTTTCTTTCCTTCTGGTTTTAATCGTTTAGAAAAATCTGAGTGTATCGTCTTTCTTTCTTTTTTGTTATTCATAAATAAAACTATATCGTTGCTTTATTTATTAGAATTTAAATAGTAATTTTATTAGCGAAAAAAATTCGAGATTTATTTTTCATCTATATTCATAAAGGGTAGCTAGTTTATTTGATGAATCATACAGGTAAAATGATACTCATATCTACCTTTTATATATGGGAATTGTTTAGTTAATTAAAATATGTACAAAAGGATAAGATAAGAAGTTCTATGGTGAAGTATTAAATATTCATAATTGTCTAAATTCGATCCTACTTCATATACTTTTACTATATATATATCTGTTCAAAAAAAGATTATTATTATCATGAATATCTCTAATCAGAATAATTCAGACTTCAACATCAATATGATTATTATATATGTTAACAATATTTAAATCTTTGAGATATATATCAAAAGAATATATTAAAATTTTATATGAGAGAACAAAAATAAGGTAAAGTACATTAATCTGCTTTATGTGTGCGTATTGTTTTAAATACATTAAAAAATTTATCGAATGTTTCATGTGAGATCTTTCTTCCAAATAAACTTTTATTCGATGCTGTTGTTGATGCTGGCGGTGTTGTTGGTGGTGTCGTTGTTGATGTTTTTTTTGTCGTCATTCTATTTAGTCCTGAACCAATTGAACTGCTATTATTACTATTATCAAATCGAACTGGTCCACCGACATTTGCTGTTATATCTTCTTCTTTTGTAATTATCAATATAAATGTACGTTTTATTTCTAAATTATCAAGACGTGTTTTAATTGTTACATCAAGTGGTTCATCATAATTTTTTAAATATTCTAATTTAATTTCATCTAAATCTTTATCAACATGTCCAATAATAAATCGAATTAATGTCATATAATCAATTGGATATTTTTCCAATGCTTGTCGTAATGATTTCGAATAATAACCACTTGGTGATCGTGTAAATTCTATAATATCATCAAAACATTCGATTTCTATTTGATTATGAAATTGACGTTGAATTGCTTCTTGTATAGGTTCACCATATTTATCTTCATAGATATCAAATATAGTTGATAATTGTGAAAATGAATCACATGTAAATATATCTATAATTGTATTGTCATCAATTGTTGTAACATCTGAAGTAACATCATGAAAATTTTTTGCAATCATTTTTGCTATTGATGGTGAATTACCAGATTCTTCATAACGTTTACCTTTAAGTAAATGAATAATTAATTTTGATAGAAGATTTTTTTCACCAAGAACTATTTCAATATCTTTATCAATTGAATTTTCAAATAAATTTTTATATGATTCTTGAAATTTCTCAATATCCATATTACTTAATCCTAATAATATTTCGATTAATAATCTTGTTATATCACCATCAATTTTACCAGTTAATTTTAATGTAAGTAAATCATGAAAATGACGAACATATAATTCAATTGGTTCAGTTAACATTGCTAATACACATGAACGTATAGGTGATTCTGGACGTTCAAGTACCATATCAACTAGATTGTAGTTGTATTCATATTCAAGATTTTGAACAATTAGCATACGTTGTTCACAATTATATGTTGATAAAAAATGAAGAATAGAATCTAAATCTAATATATGGGCTGTAACACACTGTTTTAAGATTTTTACTAAGTGTTTTGCATCACGTTTATAATCAAATTCCGGTGGGTGACCAAATGAAGCAAGCGTTGTTTGTCGCTAAAAAATAAGAAATTAGTATTTCACTTTAAATTTTTTAATAATTTTTACCGTCAAACGCTTGTCCATTTTAGTCAGGTCACCATCATAGGTTTTTGATCTTGTTAATGTTTTCTTCATGGTGTACTATTGATGATGGTAAAGGTGCAAAAACCAAAAGAAAAATTTCAGTTTTCTAATATTATTGTTCTTATTTTATATTTGCTTTTATGATTACAGAAAAATATCGAAAGAAACGAATAGGAGAGAAGACGATAGATACGCATGATAGAGTCTTGCGTCGTTGATTTGTTTTCTATTGAGAATATAAGAAGTGCTTTCTGATTGTCGTAATCGCAAAATATATAAACAAAAAAATATGACAATTTCTTCCTTTTGTGCGCGTACAAACTAATGGTGTTGTTTTCATGTACGTCATATATACGGTCGATCACACGCTTTACATATGGCTAAAAAAATTAAAGAAACAGGTCAAGGAGCATGATTGGGCAAATAAAATAATATGTATTGTAATATACAAATAATACATTGCGATAAATTATGATTAATAGATTGATACTTTGTATTTTGTTGTTCATGATAAGATTAAATTAAAACAAAAATCATATTAATTTTAAGGTGATAGTTGATGATAAGAAGTATGTTCGTACTTTTCCAAGTAAAAACTTAAAGTACAAATGTTTACTTATACTGAAGTATAAAAAACCTGTACTTTGCACTTACAATACAAAGCAATATATTTTTCAGCAGTTGAAGTACTTTTTGTCTCGTTGTAACTTTGGTGTTTTTTTCATAACGCTGAAGCTATTATCTTAACCCTTTGATTACGGGTCACACATATGTATGTTTTGAATTTTTACAAATATCGATGTTCATTACAATATCATTCATATTTGAAACTAAGATCGTAGAATAAAATTCTGATTCATACGTAAGAAAATCAAACTTCTGAGAGGGTGCGCATCAATAGATGAATATAATAGACGTATCGACGCCCTTACCGTCATTCGCCCTGACACACACGCTTTCTTCGCATAATATATTTGACTCATTTCTCTCTTACAAGTATAATATTTTTATTTACGATTATTATACTCGTTCTAGCGTTGGTCCGAAGTTAAAAATATAATAAATCGACTCTCAAATGGAAGAGAGTATACATAAAATCTTTCTTAAAGTAATTTCGTCGAACATAGAGAACCCGAATTCAGTATTTAATTTTTCTAAAAATACAGTAGCACACAGAATACTATGACAAAGTTTGTCTTACTTAAGATTTAGTGGTTATTATGAATAGGTTCAATCGGTACTCTCGGTATCAAGATTTATAGTTTTAACAGTCATTTATCGGAACCACACGAATAATCAATTATAAATTCATTCATGAACAAAATATAAATTCAAAGGAAAATATTCTCTAATATTTTTTAATCAATAAAATAAGAAGTTAAGTATATGTTTTAATTATTGGCGATGCAAAATTATCAAAGCTTGTTTAATTCTGTACCGAACGTTTGAGGATTGCTTTTTGTAAAGCTTTTGATTCTAGTAGAGAATTATTTACTTATGATGTATTGAAGTCACAAAGAATTACTGAAAGTACTTGAAATATTTTTTATTTATTTGAAATTAATATTGAATTCTAAACAGAATAAAATATTCAATTTTTTTCGTCTAAATCAATATTGTTATTTACAAAAACTGACATTCAGAATAAAATTTTTTGTACTTAATTTTAACCTTCTATTGAACAATTTTTTTTTGTTTTATCATTTAATTATTTTCTTTTTTTTTCTGAGAATGATTGACGTCATAATATTAGTTAAATAAACGAACACATACGCTTTTTAAACAATAATATTTGAATTTTTCTGGAAAATATTTGATTAGTTTTATTAAAATAAATTCGATCGGAAAGATTTTATATATGAAAATCAAATAAAAAATAGAAACTTTATTTTAATTGAATTTTATCAGATGATTTAATTGAAGGAACTGTCATATTTATTCTATATAAAAGGAACTACTTTTTCACTCATTCTTCTTGTCCCGCGAAGACTCAGAAGGTAGAGGAAACTCGTTAAATAATACACATATATTTTCATCAATGTTATCCAATCGATACAATATACTTCCTTCTTATTATCAATCCAATTCAATTTCACATCAACGGGTAAATAAATTCGATAAAAACGAAACATAAAATCTTTATTGATATTTTTAGTCTATAAATCAACGTACAGAATTTTTACCAATCAAAACTTCAAAATTATTATATAATAATGTTCATCTGTCATCATCATTGATAAATAATAATCAACAACAAAAAAATAAAAAAAATCTTGATCAACAGTTACCACTTTTAATTCAACGTCGTTGTCGTCCAACAATAGAAACTCTTCAACAATCATCAGATATAAGTGATATTTATGGTTATCATATAAAATTAACACTGCCACCACTTTGTGCAAATCAAATCAAATTTTCACTACATTCAAAACTTTTCAATGAAAATAAACCGAGACATATACCATTCGATCCCAAATTATCACAATCTTTTCAACTATGGGCATCGGAATTAAAAGAAAAAGAAGACATTCATCAAATAATACAATCAAAACAACCTATATCAAGACGTTATAGTAGTTATCATCGTCAAACAGACAAAAATCATTCAAATTCAAAACAACAATTATTACCTGATTTATCAAAATCATTCAATAATGATAATACAGGTTTTACTGATACATGTAAGTGTCGAATAGTTTGATCTCAATGACTAATCATTATTTTCTTGTCTTGTAGGGAAAGATTCTAAATCAAATATTGCCGTTCTTTGGAATCAAGAAGAATCAATGAATACGAATTACAATAGTCCTGTAAAAGCATACACTCCTCAAATTCGTATTCAAGAATGTAATGACTTTGAATCTTCAACATTTCTACCTGATGATTATTCATCATTCGCTAATTCGTGTACTGATGCTTTCAAATTAAAACCACCAAAATTAATCAGACTACGACGACTTTCTTATAGTTTATCATTACCAACAGTTATAGAACATATCAATGATGATCATTTTAACAATTGAATGACATTTTCTTTTAAATGACAATATATTTGTATATATTCATTTCTTATCTTTTATTTATTTGAAAAAATAACACAAAAAAAAACGATATAACACCAACAAATAAAATAATAGACTTACTTGTGAAAAAATTATTGTTGATATCCTTCGACTACAAAGAAGTGGAGGAGTTGAATCTCAACAATTAATAATGTTCAAGGTGAGACGAACTGCTCCACTTAGTCAAGTCGAGGAGAAGAAGAAAAAAAGAATAAACCGAAAAAAAACATCGAATACTTTTTTTTTCACACGCGATAAGAATTGTTTTTTTTTGTATAAAGAGAAAAAAAACGAAGCTTCTTTTTTTTTCTCCGTGAACTTTACAGCTGTTGATAATCTAAACGTTCTCTTCTATAACGAAATTTGACTAAAGCATGTAAAGAAACTCAATCTGAATTTGATTCGTTTCTTTTGACTATGAAGAAGAATAAGAAGAAGAAAAATCAAAGTATTAAAAAACTAATTGAATTTAAATTATATTTGACTCTCGGCTTAAGTAAAAGGTCGTCGAATAAAATAAAACTTACATAGAAGAATAATAATGCTGATCATTCAACTTATTGATATGAGCTGGAAGAATATAGATCTGGCATTTTATAAAGCAACTATGCGAAATCCATCTTCCAGCTCACAAACAACGAAGTTAATATTTATGAAATATTCTTTATTCTGCTCATCGTTTATATATATATGAGATGATAAGAAAAAGTAAACACTGTTATCCGTTTTTCTCTTGATGTTGACATACCTGTAAGAAAGAAAAAAAAAACGTTGACAACAAATTGTCTTATCCAAGATAAACTATAACAGCTTAAGTGTGTGTATATATGTTTGCATACTAATGGTTAGTTTTCATCCAAAAAAGATAATGATGATGAAAAAGAAAACAAATGAGAATTCAAAGAATAAATATCATATTACATCTTCTTTTTTTTCTTTTCATAAAAGTAAATTGTCGATTATATTTAGTTAGATGATGTAAACTTTAGATTATATGTGTTGAGAATCAGTTTCTTTATTTTTTTCAAGTAGTTTAACTTTTGATATCTACCGTTTGTTGAATAAATAATACTTGTCTTGTGTAGGTGCATAGTTTAACATAAAAGAAATAGTGATAATTAAGAATAAGTCCACTCTTATGAGATCAAAGTACAATTTATCTATAATTTGTTTAAACTACTGATATCGATGAAACAATGATGTAATGTAAACGTGTAGAACGATTGAGCATTTATCTATTGATTTAAATGAATGAGAAAGCATATGAATATTCATAATAGTTTTTATTGTGAGTGCATTTTTATTGTATTAATTTGATAAATGATGATTTGTTTATTTTCAAAAGATATGCTAATTATATATTTTACAATTGCAAAAATTATAGAAATGTTGTTGATATTCCTCTTTATATTGAATACAAGATTTTAGCATCAATAATGTAAAATTTCGAGATTTATAATCGATGTCATTACTGTTTTAAAACGATGAAATGATTTTTTGAAGTAAAGTAGGAAATAATATCTAACTCTTATAACAATCACAATGCGTCAAGAATATACAGATTTACAACATCATCATAACAACACATTTCCTATCCTCTAGCATCTACCTTTCTTTATTCGAAGTATATACTTTAGTCAATCGCCTTATAGACTATTATTCTTTCGTTCTTCCAGTTTAAATATATGTTCACGCTCTATCAGTTTTGATCCACCCTATACTACGATTTTATAATGAGACGAGTGAAAAGAAATGTAAATATATGTATCCATATATATATTAGTTGCACACAGACTTTCAAGTTAAATTCTTCATTTCATTCAATTAATATCACAAAAAAGACGAATACATTGTAAATGAAGAGAATTTTAGTCTTTAGCTTCTACGCTGTTCAATCTCTCTTACAATCGATTAATTGTTTCCTAAAATCTCAATATCAAATTTTCTTTTAGCACATTATTTTGACTGCATCTTTTTCTTCTAATCATTTGATGATTAATGCCAATTCATGGCAATGCATATATTAAGCTCCAGAACTATCAAAGCATTCTGATCATCGGAAACAGTAATCGTTTTCTGGGATTACGGAATCGTTGTTTCTGACCTGAGATGCATATTAACACTAAACGAATTATAGTAAGTAATAGTTTTTTCTCTGCCGTTGAGTAAATGTCTGAAAAAAGTGTCTATTGAAACAACTGCCTTCATTTTTTACCTTTCTTTTCTATTTAATCTCAAAATGAACTTTTAGCTATTTTTTCTCCTCTTAACATGGACAACTATTGTGTAGGGAGAATATATAATAACGTACATAAATTATTCACCTATGTGAACTTCTTTTTTTCTTTCCATTTGTAGTTTGTTCTTTAGCATATAATCGACCAACATGGCTATCTCTCTTAAAGTATAATTTCTGCTTTATTTTCACCTGCATATTTATATCTTCGATTTTAGAAACATAAGTTAGCGTTTGATCTTGTTAAAATAACATTTCAAATAGAACAACTTATTAAACAAGCTCCAAATTCAATGGTTCACAATTTGACTGACGCTGACTTTACTCGTTACTGTAATTTATCAAAGAAAAGGTCGTTGATGTTAAAAGAAATGGAAACACTCATGTAAAATGATGGTGATACATAACTCACTATTTTAACCTGAGACTTTTTCTCTTCTTTATTGTAATATTCATCAAGTTATGAAGTGATTAAAACATATAAACCAATTCACATATTTTTTCTTTTTTCAATATTACCTAAAGGCGTACAATATTTTACTTAGCACATAAATATGATCCTTAATTTAATCTTTTCTTATACAAAGGGATGGACTATGTCCCGCAACCGAGAGAAACTGTTCCACTTCAAGCAGAAATCCTTATACTCTCACAAAACCAGCGGGAAATCCTTTTTCCACCGAAGTCGAAACAATTCGAACCGCAAACGTTTGTTCATATCTTCATTCATAAGGAGACATGGAAGAAATATAAAAAGATATAGTTTATTTTATTTTTTGACTCCACGGAGTTATAAGTTTTTACCAACAGAAATGACCAAATCAGAGTAATGTAACGACCTCTATATTATTCTGTTATTTTCTATTCCTTAAAACTTTATACTGTTGTTATTTATTATCGATTAATTTAGAGACAAGTTATAATTAAAATTTCCATTTATTCTATATATTTATCATGTCAGGTGGAGAGGACATGATAATCAATGGATTCAATCCAATAATTTTACTACTGTTTATTTATTGTCTACAAATGTAGTGGAGATATAATTTCGCTTTAGAATTTTACTGACATAAATTTTATCAATATTAACTTATGTTTTTTCTAATATATTTATAGATCATTATACATCTTTACTATCATCATGTCGGACACAGAGATGGACGAGACCCCACGCGCCTCGGATGAAGTCGACTTGAATAAGTCGTTACAAGAAGTCCTCAAATCAGCCGCACGTAATGACGGTCTTGCACGAGGTTTACGAGGTAATAAATAAAACTTCCTGTATTTTTTTTGTTTAAAATAAATGATCTTGATTTTCATAGAATCCGTCAAAGCATTAGATCGACGTGAAGCACATCTTTGTGTTTTAGCATCGAACTGTGATGAAGCTAACTACGTTAAATTAATCGAAGCTTTATGTGCTGAACATAACATCAATTTATTACGTGTTGATGATAATAAAAAATTAGGTGAATGGGCTGGTTTATGCAAATTAGATAAAGATGGCAAAGCACGCAAAGTAGTTCGTTGTAGTTGCTGTGTTGTTCGTGATTTTGGCGATGAAACACAAGCTCATGATCAATTATTAGAATACATGAAAAAAACCAAACAATCAGCATAAAAAATAAATAAAAAATTGCATGCTTTTTGTTTTTGTATTCAAAAATTGAATTTAAAACATAACAAAATAAGAACATATATATTAATAAAATAAGAAGAAGAACGTATCAAGTTCATATAAAGATTAATCCTTAATTTATTTCTTTTTTCTTTTTCATAAAATAATTCATGAGAGAAAAAGTTTTCAAAGAAAACTCATAAATTCCGAACTATTTCCAGATATTAGCTATTTTTTGTTTTGTTGTAAAAATGGCTTCAATTCTCAAATTGCAAGTCATTACAGGTGCATATAATGAAGGAGCTTTGGCTTATCTTTTACAAACAGACGATTTTCGATTTTTACTTGACTGCGGTTGGGATGAAAATTTTTCACCAGAAATTATCGAAGAATATAAACGGTAGGTTTTTTGCAATTCTATCTCATAATACGAATAAATCGTTTTATCGAAAGAAAATATCATTATAATTATTTTTTAGCCATATAAAGGATATTGATGCTGTATTAATAACTTATCCTGATCTGTATCATCTTGGTGCATTACCGTATCTTGTTGGACATTGTGGATTAAAATGTCCAGTATATGCAACAATACCTGTTTATAAAATGGGACAAATGTTTATGTATGATTTATATCAAAGTCGTTCGAATAGTGAAGATTTTACATTATTTACACTTGATCATGTTGATGCAGCATTTGATCTATTTGTTCAACTTAAATATGATCAATCTATATCTCTTGAAGATAAAGGACTAGGTTTAACTATAACTCCATTACCTGCTGGTCATATGATTGGTGGTGCTATATGGAAGATATCGAAAGAAGGTGAAGAAGAAATTGTATATGCAGTTGATTATAATCATAAAAAAGAACGACATTTAAATAGTTCAAATTTAACAAAAATTAGTCGGCCAACATTATTAATAACTGATGCATTAAATACAAAATATTCTCAAGGACAACGAAAAACAAAAGATGCACAATTATTAACAACAATCTTAGAAACAATGAGACGTGATGGAAATGTTTTAATTTGTGTTGATACAGCTGGTCGTGTTCTTGAACTTGCTTTACTCTTAGAACAATTATGGCGAAATGAACAATCAGGTTTATTTGCATATTCATTAGCTTTATTGAATAATTTTAGTTATCAAGTTATTGAATTTGCTCGTTCACAAGTTGAATGGATGTCGGATAAAATAGTTCGACAATTTGAAGAAAGTCGTGCTAATCCATTTCATTTACGTTATGTTAAATTATGTCATGATCTTAGTGAATTAGACAAAGTTCGTGCACCAAAAGTTGTCTTAGCTAGTCAACCTGATTTAGAATCTGGTTTTGCTCGTGATTTATTTATTCAATGGGTTGAAAATGATAAAAATAGTATTATATTAACAACAAGAACATGTCCAGGAACATTAGCAAGAGAATTAATTGATAAACCAAATGTTACAACAATTGAAGTTGAAGTACGTCGAAAAGTTCCACTTGAAGGTACTGAATTAGAAGAATATCTCGAACAACAACGTATTGAAAATGAAAAAAAAGCGGCTGAAGCTCAAGCAGAAAAGAAAAAATCACGTAAATTATCTCGACAGACTGGTGATGAAGGAATGGATGTTGATATTCCTGTTGATGACGAAGAAGAAGAAGATGATGACGATGATGATGATGATGAAGAAAATGAATTAAATAATAAATCAAAATCATCAGCAGCTGACAATACAATTGATACAGGTCTTGCTGATGACGATTTAATAGTAACACCTTCACATACACCATCAGCTGTACGTCTTCCATCTCAATCCCCATTTGCACCAAAACGTAAAGCATTCGCAATGTTTCCATATAAAGAAGACAAATATGTTTGTGATGATTATGGTGAAATAATAAATCCCGATGATTATATGATTGTTGAAACAAAACCTTCAATAACAAATGATTTAGCCGCAATGAATTTTGGTGATTCTGATGAACGACATCCATTAAATGAATTAGCTGATATAACAAATAATAATAATAATGCAGCAAATGTGATGATGATGATGATGCAACAAGCTTCAACTGGTATTTTACCTAATAATCCATCACAACATCCATTAATTCAACAAGTTCAACATCAACCATCAGCAATACCATTTAAAACTTTACGTGAAAAACGTGAATTAAAAATCAATGCCAAAGTTTTATATGTAGATTTTGAAGCACGTAGTGATCGAGAATCAATTGAAAAATTACTTAATCAAATTAAACCAAAAAATTTAATTCTTATTCATGGTACACAAGATTGTATTGAACAATTAGAAAAATATTGTACAGCAAGACAAATTGTTCAAGGAAGAATATTTGCACCACGTGTAGGTGAAATAGTCGATGCAACAACGGAAAGAAATTTATATCAGATCAAACTTAAAGATAGTTTACTTAGTTCAATTTCATTTGCAAAAACGCGGGATGTTGATGTCGCTTGGGTTGATGGTATTATCACTCATGGTGTACCACCACCTGCTACACCATTAGCAGTAACGACATTTACTACTGTTGGTCAAGCTAATACAGAATGGTATTTAAATCCTGTATCACGAGAAGTTAAAGATCAGGTAAAATTTTGATTAGATAATTTTTGTTCTCTTATTCTTTTGTTAAAAAAATATTTAGATGCCACCTCATGCATGTGTATTTGTAAATGAACCAAAATTACTTGATCTTAAAATGATTCTTATTCGACAACATGGTCTTCGAGCTGAATTTGTTGGTGGAGTACTTACTTGTGAAGATACAGTAGCTATTAAACGAAATGAAACGGGTAAAATTATTCTTGAAGGCGCTCTATCCGATACATTCTATAAAGTTCGACGAATCTTATATGATCAATATGCTATTTTGTAATAATTGTCAATAAATATGTGTTATTTTTTTTTGTTGTTGTTGTTTTTTTCAAATAAATATACGTGAAGTTTAAAAACACAAAGCAATAAATTTCAATCCATAAAAAAAACAAATCAAAACAAAATTTAAAAAAAAAAGACAACTAAAATCTATTATTAAGTAGGAATGTTCACCACTTTTTGATGAATTTCTTCTAATATACTATCAGCACCCATTTGCATTAATTTAACAGCTAAATTTGTACCACATAATTCGGCATTTTCTAATATTGTTTCATTTATATTAACACCACATACATGTGCATAATGACGAAGTAAAGGTGTATTTGAAATTTCTGTCGAGGAAATTTTAACAGATGGAGGAAGAAGGATAGTATTATTATCATCATCATCATCATCTGTATTTGAATCTGTACGTTTTCGTTTTAAATTTTTTCTAACTGTTTGTATTTCATCATCTGGGGTTAAAAGATCATCATCGGTTTGTGAAACAAAAAAATTTGGCATTGGTGTTGTCATTGATATAGTTAAATCAGGATTTTCCATATCATCTTTAACATAACGTGAACCATCAAGATTAAGTAAAATACCATTAATAATTAAACTTTTTCCATTATATTCTGTACGTACAGCATTAGGAATACTACAACCACCTTCAACTGAAAAAAAATAAGCAGAATAAATATTTTTCTTTGTTTTGAATAAAAAAATTATTACTTCTTTTTAAAAAGGCTCGTTCAGCTACACAACGTATAAGTGATGGTTCATGATTGAGTACGGATAACATTCGTATTGTATCAATATCATTATGTCGACATTCAATTCCAAGTGCACCTTGTCCAATAGCATAAAGAACTTTATCGGGTTCAATTATTTCACTTATACGATGTGTCCATTGTAAACGTTGAAAACCAGCAACAGCTGCAATCATTGCATCATAACCAAGTTCTTCATTATTTAATTTTTCCCAACGTGTATTCATATTTCCGCGAATATTTTTATATGTAAAATGTGGATATTTTAATTTTAATTGTGCAATACGACGTGTTGAACTTGTTCCAATAACACTACCAGCTGGTAATTCATTTAAAGATTTTTCTTGACGTCGAGTTGCTATTATAACAGCATCACGTGGATCAGCTCGTTCAAGAATAGCTCCAATGATCATATTTGGTGGTAATGTTGTTGATGGAACATCTTTAAGTGAATGAACAACAAAATCAATTGTTTGTTTTTCAAGTTCAATTTCAAGTTCTTTGGTAAATAAACCTTTATCACCAATATTAGCTAATGGGGTTAATAGATTTTTATCACCAGCTGTTTTGATTTTAATTATTTCATATTCTATATGTGGATAAAATGTACGAAGTTGAGCTATTACACTGAAATATACAAAAACAAAGGATTAATATGATTAAAATAATTTATATGTACCTTTCAGTTTGAATCAATGCCAATTGACTTTCTCGAGTACCAATAATATATTTTAATCGTAATGGTGCATAGGACATAGTTGATTTATTTTTTTTTCTTCTAAACTGAGCGAGTCATACGATCGATCTGAAGAATATTATAAAAATATATAGTCAAAATTAATTAACTATTCTTTGTCGAATATAAAATGAATCATATCTACCAATCAATATTAATATCGTATATTATAAGATAAATCGATTAAATATATATGAGAATTACGATAAGAAAATATTTTTTGGTATTTATCGATAAGTAATTGTGTATTTTTTTTGCAATGTCATTCGTGATATATCGAGAAAGGAACAATATCAGGTATTTATCGCACTAGGTTTGAGTCATTAAGTTGACGAAAAAAAATAGGTCTCTTCATCCTATGAATCATTTTATTACTATATGCGATGATTTTAATAAAAGAATCAAATAGAGAAGAACATATACTTTATACATGCATGTGAAGAGTAGAATTCTGTTATTTACTTTGTATTAAATTCTAAAACTGTAACTGTGTGTAGAACAGATTATCTTATAAGGATTTGTAGACTATATGATTAATCAATTTTGATGATGATAATAATAATAATAACTCATTCTAGATTATTGTATGTTAAGCGTTTCTCACCAATCGATGAATCTCAATAGACAAAAGAATAGTCTCGATAGGCATCTATAAGGATGCCGCCACTTGCAAGAATAGTATTATTCCCATACAAGATTTACATTGAGGTAGAATGTGTTTAAAAAAATTCTTTTTATTCATTCGATCGAGACAGCAAACTATAAAAATTCGATTTTGTTTGGTAAAGTCTTTCATTGAAATATTTTATGTATATTTAAAAAATTATTGAACTCTAATCAATCTTGATTCATTTAAATCTTTACGAGTTATTCAACAGAATATTTAATAAGTCCATCGTATTTCGTATCCTGTCCGTATTTAGCATAAATAGTTACGTCTTTTGAGCCAACTGTTACTTGTGTTTTTAAAATCGAATTTTCATATTCATTCGTTTCAACCCATTTCGAATCAACTTGTAATCCAATATCCTTTGCTCCAGGAATAAAACATTTAATTGGTACGATAGTACCAGATTTAAGTACACCATTAAATGGTTCATAGATTTGACATTTTTTCGTAGAAAATTGCTCATATAATGTAGGAAATTTAATTTTTTGTTGAAGCTTTGTGACATTAAGATCGAACTGCACAGCGGAATTTGACGATGTACCAACATCATCAGATTGGCGTTTAGCAAAGATAGTTAGTTTATGATGACCTGTATGCTGAGGTGCAAATAGTAATTGCCATTGTTGTTTATTATTGTCGAACTGTTCTAAAGTAAAATCTTGTTCATTTTTACCATTATATTCAAGAGCACAAGAGAGTATAACATTATCTGGTGCTGACATACGAATTTCACTATAAGATGCATTATTAGGCCATATAACTGCAGCACGGTTCTTTGGTGCTTTTATTTTTAGATTAAGATCGTGAAAGATTTGCCATGTTTTAGGATAAGATAATGGAGTTCTTGGAATATTTTTGGCATCAATTTTGAATGATACAACAGATGTATAAGAACCACTATCGGATTTTTTCTTAGCTGAAATCTGGGCATCAAATATTCCATTAGCACTAGGGGCGAATCTACATCGCCATCATTTTTTATGTCGATCATAAAAAACTTCATCTCCACCTTTGATTTTTTCTCCATTATCAATGCGAACAAGACGTCCAAGTAATTCAAGATCGTCCGGTGTTTGAATTAAGATTTCTGCATGTGTTATTCCATTATGTACGTTAATTAAATGTGTATTTTTTGGTGAAATTATATTTAGATTTAAATTAAAAAATTTCGGCCATGTTTCTGGATAAGATAATGGAGGTGTTGGAATATTTTTGGCATCAATTTTGAATGATACAACAGATGTATAAGAACCACTATCGGATTTTTTCTTAGCTGAAATCTGGGCATCAAATATTCCATCAGTATTAGGTGCGAATCTGCACCGCCATAATTTTTTATGTCGATCATAAAAAACTTCATCACCACCTTTGATTTTTCCTCCATTATCAATGCGAACAAGACGTCCAAGTAATTCAAGATCGTCCGGTGTTTGAATTAAGATTTCTGCATGTGTTATTCCATTATGTACGTTAATTAAATGTGTATTTTTCGGTGAAATTATATTTAAATTTAAATCAAAAAAATTCTTCCATGTTTTTGGATAACTAATTGGATTTTTTATTCTTTGTTGAACATCAAGAATTAACTCAACTGCTGCACTATATTTAACTTCATCTGTATTATCTCGTTTACCAAAAATTGTTATTTTATATTCACCAATAATATTCGGAGCAAAATAGCAACGATATAACTGTCTTTTAGTATCAAATTCAACTCGATGTCCACCTTCTATATCTTTTTCATGTAATTTTAAACTTGCCATAAGTTGTACATCCGATGGAGCCCGTATAAGAACTAATGCATATGATTTTCGTGGAAGAAGATTAATAAAAGCTTGATTATATGGGCTGATTAAATTAAGATCCAACTGAAAATAAATTGGATCGATTTTTGGCATTTGTAAGTATTGTTTCATTTGAATTGGTGTACGTAATAATTGCCATTTATCATTTTCAGGTAAATGATGATAAATCATTTCATTTGGACGAGGAAAAAAATAATAAGTGTTTAGTTCAGGTTGAAAAAGTTTTTCATCAGTAAGTCGTCCAGCACCCCATGTTGATTCCATCAGATACCAATGACCATCTAGTTCTATAGCATTCCATGCATGATCTGTATCTGTTGGCACATCTTCTCGACTATCAAATCCATAACCTTTAGAATATCCACTAACTATTTCACATTTTAGATTTAATTGATCACATAAATATTTATAAATATTTGCATAACCAGCACAAACACCTTGCTTTGTTCGAAATACATTTTCAGCTGATTGATTTTGATAATTTTTACTAAAATATGATACTGTATCATATTCAATATTACAAGTTATCCAATAGAATATAATCCAATGACAATCAATTAATGATTGATTATTTGATAAGGATTGAATAATATTAACTAACTGTTGAAGAGATTTTGGACGCCATGAATCAATAGTTGAACGACAGAAACGATTATCAATCGCTAATTGACGTTGTTGTATAAAAGATTTATTGAATGCTTTCGAATCAGCAATTTCAATTTCAATAAAATTACGACTAACTCTTGATGCATGAATTAAAGAATCTATCAGTCTATCATCATCAATAATCTCTTCATTATTCAAAGAACTTGTTGATTTACTTCGAGAATCATTTCGATATGGTATGGTGGATATTACTGGTTCATTAGCTTTAACAGGTACTGGATCTTTAATTTCAATTGGCTCTGTTTCAGGCTCAATTCTATTACACTTACAACCCATTCTTCTTATTTCGAATGTAACAAGTAAAATTCTATATCTTTGCTTATCAGTAAAACGTGTACACTTGAAAAATGATTAAATATTTCCAAGTAAAAGACATTTATTACTATACCAAAAACAATATATTCTTTGCATTGCAACATTATATAGAATTTTATAAAAGTTTACCAACTAAATCTTTCGTATTTATGTTTAAAAAAAGACTAGTTTTTAATTATTATTTACATTTACATTGAATCAATATTAATAATTGCGTTACATTAAACGATATATAGAATTTATGATATACAATAAAATATTCGCATCTCTTATTTATTATTTAAGAATATCGAGAATTTTAAAATATTATTATATTGAAATTTGGTTAGTAGTTCGTATTCTTTTTATTTCATATGCAACGATACAGCAATCAAGATTTCTTATCATAATTTCCTTCGATGTAATTTATTACAATGTGACAAAATATTTACTCTGAATATATAGTCAACTGTCTTATGTATAAGTTCTTTTGTATTATCATATTTATTCATATATAAATATGTTAACTAAACTTTATTCCTTATTATATTCTAAAATTCTTGTGCAGCTCAAAATAAATATATAATAGATGATATCTATTTTACATTGCATATTTCCTATTGCGTAATATGCATATATTTTGTCTTCACGGTCTCCTATCATAGGTGTATAAAATTCCTATGACAGAGAAAATGAAAAATAAACTAAAAGAAAAGAAAAACAAAACACATATAGATTATTATTTGTAATTATACCAACAAGATGGATTTTTATATGAGAGGAAACATGAAAGATTAATGATCACTTAAAAAATAAAAGAAAACGTAATTTATGATTATGAAATAAGTTGCAATTCATATATACATCCTTAATTTAACAAAAGAATATTCGTTTGTTCAATGCGAATTCTAATTAATAATTTTTTGTTCTAAGTTCTAATGTATGCTAATTTACCGAATAACTAACTGTTTTATTAATTATTAACACCCAAGTAATCATGACGTATATGTATCATAGAAAACAAATATATATTCAATTATAAAGTATTGATTCATTGAAATTTCGTGAATGATTTCATGTCTTCGTGACCGATGATGTATTAAAAAGAAATTGCGAATATAAATTTTCCCGATGAAAAAAAAACATTTTCGAAATATTTTAAAGATAATCAATGGTTGAATATCTTCGATTAAAAATAACATCCATTACACTTCACATGTATAATATAGCAATCTACGTATATCTTTTTCATCTAATGAAAAATAATAGCTTTTTTTTAAAACTACGAATAAACAAATTTTTATGTTGAATGATCGTATCATTTATTAAATTCAAATTACAAAAAAAATAGTTTTAGAATTATTCATAAAAAAATTTATTCTTTCCTTATAATCGATACAAATCAATATGACGTCAAACTAGTTTCTTCTGATAAAAACTGTTAGTGTACAAGTTAAACACAATATTATTGACTTTTTTTTAATTGACATCATAAGATACACAAGACATTTAAATGTTGATTTCACGCATGATGTCCTTTTTTTTCTGACAGAGAAAATATTCGTTGTTAACTTTGACACTATCATGATACAATCACCACGTGTGAAGAAAACGCCATGGTAAATTATGTCTATAAAAGCAACGTACATATGTTATTCGTTGTTCATCTTCTAGAATGCCTCATGTTCGTAGTCCTGTCCGACCAATGGGAAATCGACCGTTAGTACACAATATACAATTTCAAAATGCACAATTTCAAAATGGACAATTTCAAAATGGACAATTTCAACACCGTATACCAACACCTCGTCTCACACCTCCTCGTATTCTAACTCCTAATCAAGTACTTCCACCTATGAGAAATCGACTTCCACAATTTTTACCTGTTTTACAACCTCCAATGTTTCCTAGAGAAATATTTCCTCGAGAATACGATTTGTATGAAGATGAACAATATCCACCTGAATTCGAAATGTATCAAACAGTACCATTGATGGATCAACACAGACCAGCATCACGACGTTTGTCAACTCACAATCGACCAGGATCATCTTTACGTAGATATGCGAGACCATCTTTTTCAAGACATGGTCGACATACTGGACGTACAACTCCAATAGATGAATATGATTATGATTATTCTACATGATAGAAAATTGTATCTCTTTTCAACTTAATAAATTAAAATATATAAACGAATCATTGAATATATAAGTTACTTGTAATAGTATTGATTTCTAAGTTACATCATAAGTATTTCTTATAATCTAGTCAGTTAAAAAATCCTATTAAAGTACAATCATCTCAAGTTTCTTTATCCAATATTTATATGAATCAGCATGTTTATTCCTATCTGAAATAATCGATCAACGAATCACTCTATCTTGAACCATTTATTAATAGACAGAAGGTTATTGCATTGAATAGTATACGAGAATGATCTTTTAAGATTCGAATAAAATTGTAATCGGCTTGATAAAACAATAAATATAAACGAAGAAAGATATTTTCAATTCGTAAATATAAACGTTAGATATGAATATAAAATAAAAAACATACCTTTTTTTTTCCTCTTCCTTTCTCGTTTACTAAATATATATGTAAATGATGAATATATTACATAAATAACATTTGTCATCGAATATAAATAAACAAAAGTTGAAAAAGCAAAATTTGATTGAAAACTAAACTGGTACTATATATTAATATTTACATAAGCTGAAATTGATATGATTCATATTTTACATAAGTCAATCTCAGTTAATTTAACATAAAAAAACATCGTATTTTATTTCATCATTATATTGATAATAACTATTTAACTGATCTTATTCATAGTATAGATAGACAAAACAATGGTATGATTAAATTTCATCCATTTTATGTCTATTATTCAACTAGAATATGTTGAACATATATTAATCGATATAAAATTATGTTTGTTCTAGTTTATTTTTCGTTTATTTTTCTAAAAGAAGAGATATTTCATTGATTATTTAAATATAAACGTATTCTCTATATCAAAAAAAAGACAAACATAAAAATTTTATTCCAAGTATTACTTTCATAAGATATAAAAATAGGAGAAGTTACATATCATATTTGACTTTATAAGATATGTGTAGTGTACTATATTGAGTTGTATACATATCCTCGTTATTACATGTGTAAGAAACTGATCTTATACAAATATCATCATTTAATCAATACAGTTGCATCAGATGGAGAAACATAGAAATCAAGCATCAAAACATAAGCTTCAAAATAATAATGATGATTACGTAGACTGAGAAGATATGTATTGATAATAAAAACAATATATTGAACAATAGACAAAGAAAACGAAAGGATCAAACATCTTTTAAATGATTTCTATCAGAAGAAAAAAAAAAGGATTTAGTGAAAATACATAGACGATGGTATATATATATATAAGTTATTTGTATTTCTACTCATAGTTGAAAATACAACATATAATAAGCCCGGTCAAATTACATGAAATAAAAAATCTACTGATGATCAATTTTTATCACCAAATATTTCTTTTTATAAGTAAGTTGTTAT